AGGAGTTTAGACTGTAGCTCCTATATGCTAGCCATCGTCCCAATACCTGTGAACCTCCCCCGAACCGTGATCAAACCAGCTCCTTAAAGGTGTTTGGCGAGTAGTAGCTGAACTTCCAGGTGAACACCCAGAAGAACATCTGCAAGTATTTCACGACCTGCAGGTAGACTACTGTGTGGGATCCTAGAGTTACTAATGCGTTAGGTAAGCTACTCTCCGAAGGGTTACTACAATGGGGGCGGAATAGGCTGTTGAAGGGGATATACTATAGTACCTCACGCTAGGACCCTTAAAGTAGTTGAGGCAATGGGTATGGGGTTTAGGGTTTAGGTTTAGGTTTGGGGTTCGGGGTTTCAGAGTTTAGGAGTAGTGTGAGGTTTGTAAGAGGGCCACTCCGGCAACTCCTACGAGTAGAAGAACTATCAAGACTACAAGCGAAAGGAAACACCCAGCACAAATCTCTACTTGATACCATCACGCGTATCCCCTGAACATGTAACTCCAGCTGAACCCTCAACCCTAAACCCTATATCCTAAAATCTAAGCCCAAAATCCTAAACCCTAAAGCCTAAAACTTAAATCCTGAATCCTGAAAAGCCTAAGCCCTGAACCCTAGAACTCAAATCCTAAACTCCAAATACTAAATCCTCTATCCTAATCCTAAACCCTAAATCCTAAACCCTAAATCCTAAACCCTAAATCCTAAACCCTAAATCCTAAACCCCAAATCCTAAACCCTAAACCCTAAGCCCTAAATCAAGATTCGGCCTGCCTTGGGAAGCGGCATGGCCTGCAGCGCAGAAAAATTGTGCTCGACCAAATCCGGATCCTTTTCCTCGGAGAGGTAGTAATGGTGAGCCTTGGTGTTAAGGGTTTATGGTTGAGATTTCAAGGTTTGGGATCTAATCTTCTTGGTTAGACCTGTTTTCACGCGTTTTACGTCTGCTCGGCTGAATTTAATGTGTAGGATTCAAGGTTAAGGGTTCTAGGGTTAATGGGTTTAGGGTTGAGCTTTGGAGTTTTCAGAGTTGCAGACTAGAAAGCGCCAGAATGATATAAGCATGTAGGGTATGTGGTGCCACGCAACGTATTATCTCAATACTGGGGAATCAAATTGAAAAGAAAACGGAATATGAAATTACTTAGTTCCGATAATAATTATACAGTAGTTTCCATTTTCTGTTCCACTATTCCTAGATAAGTCATTATTACATAATAGCTTCCATTTTCTTTTCCATTATCCCTATATTAATATGTCTGGGGGTCTTTACTGTAATGTCGGACCCTAAACCCTAAACCCTAAATCCTAAACCCTAAAGTGGAGGCCGGCCTTGTTGTGCTCCACATCCTTAGGGTGCATGTGGAAGCTGAACACTGACACTGCATCACCTGTTAACTGGGTTGGCCCCTAGGGCCCTTTGAAAAATATTCGTATATAGGGTCCCTTATTAAAGCCATTACGGAAAATGTTAACTATTTCAGGGGCCTACCCAGTTAACGAAGCTTAAGCTGCAAAGTCACGCGGTTAGGTTTTAGGATTTAGGGATCAAGTTTAGGGTTCACCGTTACATCAAAAACCAGCATCACATTCATATTGCTGAATGTGCCAGGCAGGCAGAAGAAAGGAGGCTGCGTATAATCCCAGTCTCCATCTCCCAGTCTCCATCTCATTTTCCGTGTTCTTGTCTCCGTTATTTGGGGTAATCCTTAAACCCCATATATCCCTATGCAACCCTGTAAACCCCTCGATACCCTATTAAGCTCCGTCAAAGAAAGCCCTCTCTGCCTGCCAAGACTCCCAAGCCTGCGGAAGCATCCAGTCCATCCAGTCGAAAAACCGACGGATGCCAATCGCAAAAACGCCGCGCCTGCTTTCATGAAGGGTTAATAGGGGTTTTATAGGAGTATCTAGAGGTAAAGAAGGGTATGCA